CATGCCCACTCACCCCAGGTAGGGAACCCATGACACATTGGAGACACAATTCTGCCAAAGTCCAACCTGGCAAACCAATGTCGTTTTTAGGGTTACTTAGGGTAGCAAGAGCAACTCAGGGGTAGTTACATCACTGGAAAACCCACCCCAGCCTGGGTTACAGCTAATGAATACAGCCTGTCTGGAGCTCTCTGCATAATGTACAGGCTGCGCCACTGGTCAGAGGGTTAGCACCTGGCATTAGGTAGCACTTAGAGAACCTGGGGAAAGCTTTGTGAAGTTTGCGGAGCTCGCTCGGGAAGCCTGGGGAGTTTTGTTAGTTACTTGAGTATTCATTATTTCCTTCCTGGAGGAAATGTTTCAGTTTAGAGGAAATGGCTTCAAAACAGGAAGGATGGCCACATGGAGTTTGTAGAGTCTCAATAGTGCATAGATTTTAGGGGGCAAAAACCCCTACTCAAAACAGAAGCATACACAGGTGTCTGCGTGCTAGTGACTTTGGATAGCAAGGATAACCTTGTCTAAGTGCTGTGGAATGGTGGATGATGCAGCAAGTTGTTCTAATATGACACCCAATTGGTTTGAAGTATTTGTATTTTGGGTGGTTGTGGTCCTCTCTGTTGTTTGAGTTAACAGAACAAATGGGGCTGGGAAGGTGTGGCTCAGTGGGCGAGAGCTCTAGCTGAACAAACATGAGGAACCGAGTTCGAATCTTGAACCTATACAAAAAACTGGGCCTGGCCACACGTTCCTGGTACCCAGCATTGTATGTGGCAAGGACAGGAGGATCGCTAAAGTGTGCTGGCTGCTAGCCTGGCTTGAGGGTGAATGAGAGAGAGACCATGTCTTAAGGAACTAGGTAGGACACCTGACACCTGGTGCCCTTGCTGGCTTCCACACAGACTTTAGTGAACACAATTTCATACACATGTACACATAAACCACACACACCCATAGGTACACATACACACACACACACACACACACAAAATAAATAAAGACCTGAACTAACATGCTTTAATAAACAATTCAATTTTGTATACAGCAATCTTACTATGTAAGATTACTATGCAGCTTAGGAAGTTCATGGGGCCATGGTTAAGCCACCACTCCTCAGATTGCTCTTGAATATTCCATTGTAAGCATAACACTTAGTAGGAAATAAATATCCTCATCCCACAAAGCCATGCCTATAAAATGACCTTAAACCTCATAACTCACCCTTGAGATGGGAAGGGTGTTGGGAAACTTACAAGCCTGCCAGTTAGTGCTGGTGTCCTGGAGTCTGTGTCCTCAGCACCACACTGCGTGGCTGGGGGCAGAGCTTGAATGTCCAGGGACCATTCATGGAGCCCTGTGATTCACTGCAAACAGAGACATACTCCAAGCGGATGTGAAGAGCAAAGCTCCGAAGCTCTTTAGGGTGGCTCAGATAAATAATCGCTTTAATTGGACAGACAGACAGGTCCTGTGACTTCACAAGTTAGCTTTTGTCTCCATTACCTGCAATGGAAATGCTTAAAGCCCACTGTAAGCAGCCCCGCTTTAATGCCGTCAGTAGGTCTGGGTAGGTCTGCCCGCACACATGGTCTGATTTCTGCCTAGCTTCATGTGGAACAAGCTGAAAGGGGCAAGAAAAATCCAACTGGGTCTTTTTTGATTTTCCAGGCATGATAATGACAATGAATACACCTCTTCTTCCTTCCTTGAAAACACGAAGAACTGTGAGCTGCGGTATGGTTTTTGAATAATGACCAGACACAGACTTGAACTATAACTTAATTTCTCAAGTAACCTTTGGGATGTGCACTAAGTCTGGAGTATCTGCTAGGTTTTTCAGATGCCGGGAATACCCGTCGCCTCTCTTGAAGAGGTGAAGGAACACATATCCAGCATCAGTAAAATGAACCTGGCAAGGCTGTGCATGTGATCAAAGACAAATTGACCCTATCTGACAAATCAATCAAAGGTAATTAAACAGAGACGATGATTTAAGGCAAGCCTGGAAAACTTTAATTACTTCTACTTTTTTTTTCTTTTGCTATTTTAAATTATAATAAGGATCTCCCTACATGGGGGTGAGGGAGTCAAAATGACCACGGCAAATTGCCATTCATGTTTACTGAATATCCTAATGGGTATGATTAAGTTGGGTCAGGGACTTATTTCAAGTAAGCATTAAGTGTTTAAAGAAACCAAAAGCTTGAGAAACAAGAGAATGACAAACCTGAGAAAGGAAGCAAGATTCTTACCCTGGCTTTTTCTAGGCCTGGTGAAGTGGTTATGCTGTGTGATTAACCCCCTGTTGAGAGGCTGACCCCAGTGCAGGTGCTGAGAGGAAATGTGGTACAGCACTGAAGGAAAAACCACGTTTCAGAAAGCGCCCACCATGTTGATTTTGAGAATGCCATCGTTTACTGTGGGTTGTGGACATTATAGCTGCTTTCCTGCATGGTGATGGAGGATTTGTGAGTGTTCAGCCTTGATCGTGCTGGTGGACATTAGCCCTCTCTTCCAAAACAGTGGCCTCAGGGGAACTTCACCTGCCTCAGTGAGCTGCCGTCCTTCACAAACTTCAAACACGTTACTTGTGGTTATGAGGTACGTGAGTCTCGGAATTATCACAGGGAAGGGAATTTCATGCAATGAATCAGAAATGCAAGTCACGGTCTGGAGAGATGACTCAGCAGTTAAGCTTAAAAGGATGTCCTACTGTAGCGGAGGACCTGGGTTTGGTTCCCAGTATCCATAGGGAGGCTCCCAACTGTCTGTAACTTCAGTTTGCAGGGATCCAGTCCCTCTTCTGACAACCATGGACACCTGCACACACACTTGGGCACAAACACATACACATAAATAAACATTTCATTTGTACAGATTATTTCATACCTTAGGTTTCAAAAAGTAAAATTAATCCCTTGAGTTGTCTTGAATAGAAACTATTATTTAATTTTATGTAATAGAGAAAAATGGTGAGTGTTTCTCTTCCCTCTCCATCAATAAACTAATATACGGCCCCCTCAAGCTCATCAGTCATGAACAGCAAAGTGACGCTAGCCTGTTGACTAATTGGGGATAAATTGATGAAACCGATGCAGGGGGAGAGCACTGAGTGAGCTGAGACTTTAATGCCAACGGGAATTTCATGGGAAGTCTAGTGAGGGAGAGAGAGAGAGAGCTTGTCTCTGCTGTGTTCACGGCTGAGCTGCGAATAGACTGTTTATCTGCATCTCCATGTTAGTGTCTAGAGAATTTATGCTCTAAATTTTTTGTTTCCTGGTTACCCGAAATCTTTACAACAACAGAGACTTATTTACGAGCACTTGCTAAGCGCTTTCCTCATGTGATCCTGTCTGATTCAAGCAGCAGTTCCTTGGAGGTAAAATTACTAGCAAAATTTTTCAGCTGAGAGAGGGAACAGAAGGAAGAGTTGAGCTGCGGTGGGACACAGTGGATGGTGACTGAGTGGCCCGCGTGTCACTTACCTCACTTCCATGTGGTCCTGGTGACAGCTCAAGGTCTGCCTTGATTTGATGCAGGAGGAAACTGACCACAGATGCTTTTGTGTTCATCCTCCTTGCGACGTGATGCGATGCATCCAGGGCAGGTACTCAGGTTTCTGGGCTCTGAGACTGAAAAGTCTGCTGTACTTGGCTTCCATAGAAACCATGGAACCTGAGCTCTCCTGTAGAATTTGACCTATGGAAGAACTCGGCCATTGGGTTTGCTTGCTATTAACTTTAAACTTTGCAGGTGTGTGTGTGAGCGTGCACATGTATATGTATGCTTGCATGTGTGTATGTGTGTGTGCATGTGTGTGCATGTGTGTATATGGAAGTTCATGTGTATTTTGGAAGTGTGTGAATGTGTGTGTGAGCGTGCACATGTGTATGTATGCTTGCATGTGTGTATGTGTGTGCATGTGTGTATATGGAAGTTCATGTGTATTTATGGAAGTGTGTGTATATGTGTGTGTATGTGTGCACATGTGTGTCTGTATTCTTGTGCACATGTGCACATGCCTGAGGGCACACTTGTGTGGGAGCCAGAGAACTCCCTTCATATTGCTGAGTAGGCACCGTCCACCTTATTTTGAAATGAGCTCTCTGATTATCTTGGAAGTGGCCAAGTAGGCGAGGCTGCTCAGCTAGTGAGCACCGGGGACCTGCCTGTCTCTGCCTTCCCAGTTCTGGGGTTACAAGTGTGTGCTCCTTCTTATGTGGTTTCTGGGGATCAAGCTCAGGTTTCCAGGACTGCACAGCAAGCACTTTGCTGGCAGAAGTGTCTCCCCAATCCAGGAGTCGCCAAAATTGTAATGTCAGCAAACTCTAGGTTTTTAGCTTTTTTTGACAACTAGAAATTGGCTATTCCCAGGACACTCCTTATTGCCAGGGGTCATCAGAATTGGCCATACTTACCCGAGTTTCACATAGTGTTCTGGTTTACTTGCCAGATATTTGTGTTCTGATGATCTCTGGGCTCACTGAAAATTTTCTCCTTTCTCATTTGAGGTTTTCGGTGTAGCATGGTGAGCGGGCTGTCCCTTTCACTTCTTGCTCTTGGTGCCTGTAGGAGCAAAAGTCGTCAAGATGTCGCTTCTGTCTCATGGGGCTTTGACAGAGAGAGCCGTTCCCCAGCACAAGTGACATTTCAGATTCACGAAGGCAAGCCAAGTCATAATTGGCCCTGTCACCATTTGAGGTTGACACTGGCACCTCGTGTGTTTGCCCTGGTTGAGTAATCTGTTTGTGTCTGAGGAGGCCACACACAGGCAGATGTGAGCTGTGTTTACATTCATTTTCTGCCTGGAAACTTGGTTCCTCTGGGTCAGAGCTTTGGAATGGCTGACGGATTGGAAATTCACTGGTACAAACTTGGTCATAAAGGCTTCCCTGGAGCTCATTTGGTAGTCAACCTGCATGACTTTCTCTGGGTTTCAGCAAAGGGGACGTCTGACTGACAGCCGGGCAAAGACAGCAATGGCGTGAGTGCCATGTCTGAGTGCTCTCAGGACACCGAGTCGTCCCCTTTTATGGATGAGAGGATTGAAACTTGGAACTGTTTAAAAGATAGGGTAGACTCTGTCAACAGCATTGGGTGGTGTTGCATGGCTGAAATCTCAGCCACTTAGGAGGTAACTGTGGGAAAATCAGTCTGGATAATTTAGAGAGACCTTGTCCCAGAAAAGACGGAGGTAAGAGGAAAATGAGAGAGAGGACATTGCTGGTCCCTCAGTCTTAGAATGTGCTGTATGCTGTGTGTGTATGTGTGTGTGTGTGTGTGTGTGTGTATGAGACTTGGTTATGCAGTTCTTGAGGGTGAACTTTGTGGATGAAAACATTGTGTTACAATGTCAAAAGGGTTGTAGGGTGGCTGGGAAAACAGCTCAGCAGTTCAGAGTACTTGTTGCACAAGAATGAGGAGCCGAGTTTTGAACCCATGACCCATACAGTGAGTTCTATGTGTTTCCACACCTATCTGTAGCCAGGCACTGGAGGGAGTGGAAGTGTGATGATCTCTGAGGGTTACTAGTTGCCGGCCCAGCTCAAAAACAGATGAACTCCAGCCAGGGAGGGACCTCTCAAGGGAATAATGAAGAGAATGGGACAAGAGGGCACTTGATGCCATCAGGGACATCTCTGTGTGTATAGGTGCACACATTTGCGCATGCTCATATACCACATTCACACACATGCATTCACATGCACAAACATTGGGCGCACCTGGTACACAAACATGTTCCGATTTTAGGATTCCTTAAGGCACTATCATCATTATAAACACTCAAGTCATCAGCCCTCTGCTATCCATTCATGAGGAACAGCACCTAGAGACTACTGAGAACAAAAATTTGGTGGGGGAGAAAGAGAACTAATTCAAAACATGAAAGGAAGATGCTAAGCTGCCATAAGAGCAAAACTAATAATTCTCTTTAATATTGAGCTACTTAGACATTAATAAACATACCAAGAGACAATCTTTTAATTTTATAGTGTGAGCAAGTCAAACACCTAAAGATAAACTCACTACAAACTTGAGCACAGTTTGGGAGAGCGTGTAGGGTTTGTTATGTGCTGCAAAGGAAGCTCGGACAGCCTTTCTTTTGTATTATCAATGCAAAACTTAGTTCTCACGTCCAAGGGAGTAAGAGGCAGTTTATTAGTGAGCCAAACCAGAGTGACCATGGCTCAGGAACACGGATTCAGCTCACCTCTAATAACCTGTTGTAATGTGGAAACAGTTTTATCATCATATAGCGACAGAACGATGGAAAATCCTAAGTGGAAGAATGAAAATACCTTGGCAAAAGTGCCAGATGCACAGCTTACAGAAAGACGGAGAAAGCTCTGCTGCAGCCCTCAGATGCTATCTGATGACACCCTTGGCTTTGGGAGCTGTGGAAGCCAGTGGTCTGTTGTTAAATTTCAAAGCTTTTTCTTGGTAACCACAAAGGTATTAACTCTAAAATCAGAGGTGGGCAGTGAGTGGGCGCTGAGGTAGTGAAGGAAACCTCCAGAGATTTTCTCTCTAGATCTGAAATTTTCCAACTATCCAGGACCAACAAATTCCAATTAGTCCTTGTATGTTCTTAACCTAGGTATTCTAGTTTCTTTATTTTGTGATAAAATAGTGACCAGAAGAAACTCGGGGGGGGGGGGGAAGCCTATTTATTTCATCTTTCCCTTCTAATTCTGTCATTGAGGGAAGTCAGGGCAACAACTCAAGAACTTGAAGCAGATACCATCGGGGAGGATGCTATTTATTGGAACGAGTGCAGGCTCATGCTTAGCTAGCTTTCCTATACAGCCCAGGATGACTTGCCAAGGGAATGGTTCTGCCCACAGTGGACCGGGTATCCTACATCAATTAACATCCAAGACAATTCCCACAAATATATTCATAGGCTGTTGTGAACTGGGCAATCCCTCAGTTTGGGATGCCCTTCTCAGGTGATGCTAGGCTGTGTCATGTTGACAAAGCTATAGGATAGGAAGTGTGTCTTTTCTGTTCCATGGGGCAAAGGTATAAGCAACATGAAATAGCATTTTCATGCTTTGATGATATTCATGTATGTGCAGAACTCTGCAGGCATTTCTAATCTTTTGATACTAGGATAAGACAATCATTTTCAAAGTTCACATTCAGGTACACAGCAGTCGAGTTGCACACACACACACACAAACGAGAGAAAGAGAAAGAGAGAGAGAGAGAGAGAGAGAGAGAGAGAGAGAGAGAGAGAGAATCTCACAATGTTTTAAGTAAGTTTGAAATTTTGTGCTGGGCTGTATTCATAACTGCCCCAGGACACATGTAGCCTGTGAGGTGTATGTTGAATATTACTGACTCAGAATGAGTGAGTGTATTGGGATGTATTGCCTCTTCTTTGTCCATGATTGTCTTAGGGTGGACAAGACTTTGACTGTCAGCACAAGCAAATGTTCAATAGGTGGTATAGGTAGTGGTCTTTCTCACTTGTTGCTTGGGAAAACTAGAAGTTTCTTCCATAAAGAATTGTACAAAACTTGTCTGGATTGAACAGAGCCAATAGTATTTTACCATGAGACCATCAGACAGGCTCAGACTTGCTGCCAAAACCTACCTTCTTTTTATTTATTTTCAACTTTATTGTGCACGCTCACTGTGCAGATGTGGTAGCTAAGGGAGGACTTTAGGTGTCCCGCACTGTTGCTCTCTGCTTCATTTCCTCTAGACAAGGTCTCTCACTGATTTTCAGCTGGGTTGGCTGGCCTGCAAACCCCAGCAACTGTCTCTAGCTCTGTAGTTAGAGGTGCATGCTCAGTTTTTACGTACAGGGTAGTGATCTGAACTCAGGCCATTGTGATTATTCCTCGAGTGCTCTTACGGGCTTAGCCGTCTCTCCCGCCCACTGTTACATCCATTGTCAGTCTGTCTTCTATAGATGACTGTCTTCTCCATGGGCTTATGGGATGTTTGGAGGAACCATTTCTACCCACAGGAGATGAAAGTTGGAAACTGAGCCTGGGCAGCTGTGACAGGCACCTTTGTGTATGGTGCTCAGGAGTTTCTTCTGCCAGCCTGGTTTTTTCCCATGCTCTTCTTAATTCCAGCTTTGTTCCCAGTCAGTGTGGCAGCTGTTTGCAGTTCATCTGCGGATGACTTGACCATTGCTCTGTCTGCTTGTCATTGTAACTTCTTCAAATTTCCACCTGACGGGGGAAAATCCCACCCTGGGCTCTGCAAGCGCTAGACTCTATTCAAATTTAGAATTAATTTTAATTTGTTTCTATGGAATCTGGAATTTCCTCTATGTCCAGAATCACAAAATCACATCATGCTTTCTTCTCCTTCCTTTCTTCTTTCCTTTTTCTTACCCCCCGTGTCTGTCTGTCTATCTATCTATCTATCTATCTATCTATCTATCTATCTATCTATCTATCATCCATCTATCTATTTGCCTACCTATTTATCTCTTGTTTTGAAAGAGGATCTCACATAGCCCATACTGGCCTCGAACTCACTATATATCAGAGGATGAACTTGAACTCATGACTCATGATCCTCCTGCCTTCACTTCCTTGTGAATTTGCATTGTGTAATATATACAGTGTGTAATGTGAAGTATAATTGTATAATATGTGCCACACTTCTCAGTTTATAGAAAGCTGTAGGTTGGTGTGCTTTCCCCAAACAAAGCCTTGGAATATTCTTACAAAATTCTTCTGCATTCTAGGCAAGCCTGGTCTCCAATTATGGGCCAGTGTTGAGTGAGTGACATCCCAGATGGCCTTTTGCTTGAGGCACTAGACTAGACCAGAAATGGCTGGAACACACTGTTCTAGTGAGCTTGGTTAGTGGCCAAACCCAGGGTACAGAGAAGTCTGCTTAGTCCCTGCCTTATGTAGATTATCAGCTGTCATAAGGTCTCGACTCTAAGGGTCATTCTTACCTTTGTTTAGAATCTTCGATTCCAGGGAAACTAGTCAATAAAAGTTCATGTTCTAGGACGTCTGTGGTAATCTCACTTTGTTTTTTACTTAGGAAAAGGAGCCAGAAAATGGGAGGCCATAAGCCATCGGCAGAGATGGGAAGGCCATAAGCCATCGGCAGAGATGGGAAGGCTATAAGCCATTGGCAAAGACCAGTGTGTTTCCATCCTGCTGTTTGGCATTAAGCCTTGCTTGCTGTGGCTAATTGTTCCATAAGCTTTTCTCTTCGAGAGCAGAAGCTCAGTCCAGATAGGGCTCTTGTTTCACCTGCTTTAGGTGGGACTTGATAATACCCATTCCTGTGACAAATGTGCCTTCGGATTCTCAGTAAACCTGATGGGTCCTGCCTTGCTGCCTAAGCCTAGGGTTCTCAGAAAAGAGCTCCAGGTCTCCCAGGGGTGGGGCTCCATTGAAAAAGAGCCTAGCTCAAAAACCTCAGGTGTTTGCATGAATGAATCCTGGCTTTGATCCATTCCCACCCCATGAACTAGGATCAGTGGTCCATGCCTTAATCTCAGCACTCAGGATGTGGAGATAGGGTGATTAGGAGTTCAAGGTTACCTTCCACTACACAGCCTGAAGCCAGGTTAGGCTATGAAATCCTATGAGAGAAAAAAGGAAGGAGAAATAAAGGGGTTGTCTCAGTTACCCTTTGGAGGGACATCCCTCAGAAGCAGACTAAAGAAAAATGAATGCTAACACAGTATCTTGTATGTGACCTGTAGGCCTTAGGGTATGCTGCAGTTTCTCATACCCTAGCTGGGTACTGCCTCAATGTCAGCTTTGGTTGTGAGCTTTTAGAATATTTTGTGCTCCACAGCACTGAAAAGTAGCATCACAGTGTCCTCTTAGAGCTGTGTCATTCATGACAAGCCTGTGAGGCCAACAGCCCATGGCCTCTTGTCTGTAGACCATGATTGAATAAATATTCAGTCTTCTGAGTGGCATACTAGATATTGTGCAAAGAGATGGCACACTCCTGGCCTTGGGACAGCTCATGAGCTTACAGGAGAGAGAGAACCAGTACATTAAAAAATGCAAAAAAACACACTAAAACCCAAAAATTTGATGGACTTAGATAACATTTATAAATCTAATTAAAATGGTTCAGAAATACGGATCTACGGAAGCATTTTGAAATGATGGGAGGGATGGCGGTTAAACAAATACAGCTTTCGGTTTCCTTCCTCTCAGATGCCTCTGAGACAAGGATTTGAGAGCAAGT